ATTTCAGGCACTGTATACTGTTTTAAACTATGATGAAAATGATAGAATATGAAGCTGAGTACACAGCGATACAACTCAAGCTGGGATGTTAAAATAATAAACATTAACATTCAAAGACCTGTCAAACACATTTTGCTTAGCTTACTCATGCCCATCTTCTTATAGTATTCCTCCCAGGCCTTTGAGTAGTCAGGCTGACCCCCACACTGCTGTGCAGCTTGGCCCTGGTCCCCTGGTGCTGCTGCAGCCGGGGCACCAGGAGTCTGACCTGCCATGGCGGGGCCTGGCTGTTGGCCATAGTACTGAGAGTAGTATGCCGCCCAGGCTGCGTTTGGGTCTGCTGCAGCCTTACCTGTCGGGAGGAGAGGAACGCACAAGATATAAAAATAAACATGCACCGACACAAAAAGGGAAATGTAATAAAGTGGGTGTAAAATAGATATTTACTGGGGTCATGGGGATTTGGACCTTGCCACTGTTGGTAAGCATTTCCCCAACCCTGGGGACCATACTGGGGACCACCAGGTGGAGCTCCACTGCAAAGAGACCCGAGACAGTTTAAATACGCTTCTGTCATGTTTCCCTGAACAAAACCTTAAGATTGATACTTACTGTGGACCTCCACCAGGCGGCCCAGCATTGTAAGGATTAGGATTATAGGGACCCATCGGACCACCAGGACCTCCTGGACCAGGACCACCACCCACTGGACACAAAGGACCCTGAAATAGAAATTTGAAGAGAAACCATTCTCAAAAAGAATCATCTGAGAAAGGATGATCAGACATTTGATTGAAGCTGGTACTGCTTCTGACAGGTCAGATGACGACTAAATTAGTTGGTGAAATAACTGGTTTAGTCCACATGTAGGATGAATATAAAGAACATTTCTAAATATTGTAAGTGTGGCAAAAACATGCCATTTTCTACAAACTACATGAAAATCAGAATTTGAATTTCCATTCAGAGCTCCTGCAGGAGGCGGAGCTTGTGTGACGACAGTCGTTGAAAACTAAACAGACTGGTGAGTTGCTTTTTACCAAGACTATTAATAATGAGCATAATCAGGTCTGCCTCGTTCAGTGCTCAGAAAGCTACAGAGCGCCTTGAACAGGGCTGCAGTGGTGAAGGGCTGACTACAGCTAGCAGGCTAGTAGCATCTGTTCATGTGAAACAGCGCTCCGAGCTGCGCTTCTTTCTGTTTGTTATTCAGCTGAAATGATCCATTCACAGTTACATTAAAAAGATGAACAGCTTTGATGAGCAGCTGGTCTGATCTTATTGACCACCTGAATGTACAGTGTTTACTCATTCACACTAGAAAAATGTGTGATGAAGGTCCATGGAAGGCAAATAAGTTTAAATCAAATAAACAAAAGAGGATGGAGTTAAAATAAATAAAAGGTATTTAATCTACGTTTTGAACATCCAGAACACGTCCAACACTTGTTGGCTGCTTGTGCTCTTTAGGTCAGACGTGTGTCGGGAAGCTCCTCTGTTGTTTGAGACACTGGGGGAAC